TAAAAAGTGGGGTACAGAAATAAATAGAGAATTCTCAGTAGAGGAGTCTAAAATGGCTGAGAGACACTTGAGAAAGTGCTCAACATCCCTAGACATCCAGGAAATGCAAATAAAAAAAACTCTGAGATACTTACTCCTGTCAGAATGGCTAAAATCAAAAACTACAATGACAGTTTATGCTGGAGAGGATGTGGAGAGAGGGGAAGACTCCTTCACTGCTGGTGGGAGTACCGACTTGTACAGCCACTGTGGAAATCAGTATGGAGATTCCTCAGTAAAATGGGAATCAGTCTACCACAAGACCCAGCAATTCCACTCTTAGACATATACCCAAAAGATGCACATTCATACAACAAGGGTGTCTGTTCCACTATGTCCATAGCAGCATTATTTGTAATAGCCAGAACCTGGAAGCAACCTAGATGCCCCTCAGCTGCAGAGTGGATAGAGAAAATGTAGTACATTTACACAATGGAGTATTATTCAGTGGGAAAAAACCAATGGAATCTTGAAATTTTCAGGCAAATGGATGGCACTAGAAGAAACCATCCTGATTGAGGTAACTCAGTCACAAAAGGAGAAACATGGTATGTACTCACTCATGGATTTTAAACATGAATCAGGGGAGTGCCAGTATACAATCCCATTTCCAGAGAGTCTGGGAAACAGAACCTTCATCCAGTGACTGATGAATGCAGAGGCAGATACCCAGAGATAAACACTGAACTCCTGGAATCCAGTGTCAGAAAGGGAGAACTGATGGGAAAAGTAGTTAAGAGTGGGCTGGTTTAACCCACAGAGACAGCTGACCTGAACAAGTGGGAGCTCTTGGACCCCATATTGATGGCTGTGTGGAAAGCATGGGACTGACCCAGAACCCCTGAATGTGGGTGTCAGTAAGGAAGCCTAGGTAATCTATGGGGCCTTGGGTAGTATTTATCCCTGGCGTACAAATAGACTTTGAGTGCCCATCCCACAATGAGGGATGCTCTCTCAGTCTGAACTCTTGAAAGAGGGTCTAGACCCTACCCTGGGATGACATGCCAGACTCTGGAGATCCCCCACTTAGGACCTCACTCTCCCTGGGGATTGGAGTGGAGATTGGGTGGGAGACTGGGGGGACCTGGTGGGAAGAGATGGGGAGGAGGGAGGGGGTGGGAGCTGAGATTGACATGTGAAACAAACTTGTTTCTAACTTAAATTAAAAAAGGAAGAGAAAAAAAACAATATGACACTCTACCCCACAGCTCTTCCAGTCTCTGTCTATACTGTGTGCAGAGATCTCATACAGCCATCAAGTCTATAGGCCAGCATTCTGGCCGTTCTCTCATGCAAACCCACTGCTTTTACCTCTTTTATTGGTAGGCAAGTTGTGGCCCACACTCTTCTTCAATTAGGCATTTTCATTTAATTTCAGATCATCTCATCCAAAAATTATTCCCGTGAGCATTCCTGTGTGCACTGTTAATAAGCATAGGGTATCAACGTTTTTCTTGGGTCTCATACCTTTAGGCTCTGGGCTCCGTGCAGACTAAACCTGGATACAGAGATGTGTTTTGGAAAGCAATGGCTGAACAGAGAGTAGATGTGATTGCAAAGGTGTTTTGTCAATGGGAGGAACCAAAATGAGGGATCAGCCCTCCTCTTGAGCAGATGATCTGAGGGAGCACATGGGGCTCAAACACTTTTTGTCTGAGTGGCCTCCTTGGCTCAGTCAGGATGGAGATTTGGGATGTCAGGTGAGACACAATTGCCTGTCTCATTACAGGCAGCAGGTCTTGGAGTGAACTGCACCTATATGGTGATGGGCACAGGCTTAGGTGGGGCCTAGGGCAGGAAGCAGTGGGAAGTTGGTCTCTATGCTCTGCTTCTTATCCCATGATTTCAAAATGCTTCGAAAGCCCAGCATTGTTTCTGTCTCATCTGTGTGGGTCAAGATGTTACCCCTCCACTACTGACTCAGCCCAATGCCTGTCTGCCTGGTGACATATTCCCTGCCATGATAGCCATGGACCCCAGCCCTCTGAAATCCAATAAACTCTTTGCTCTAGAAGTTTCCTGTCACAGTAATAGAAAAGTAACTAAGACAGACCCCAGAGCTCCTCTCTCTTGTGGCATGTGTCATGTCTGATACTCTGTGTTCTGTGAAGAGCACAGGGCTTAGTCCTTCATCTCTCTGCGAATGCTTTGACTGCTTCTACTTCCAACTCTTGAGAATATGGCTGTGGGATACCTGTGTGACATTGGCTTTCTTAAATTCTTTTGCAAGCAGAACTGCAGGCTTACATGCTAATTCTGTTGCTAGTTGCCTTGAGGGAGTCACCTTACTGTCTATATAGAAAAACATTGGATCCTTTTATACTCCCTACAACCATGCTCAAGGGTTCCAACTTCTCCACATTTTGCACCACTTGGTTCCTTTTGTCTGGCATAGCCACCATAAGGATGAAGCTATCAACTGAGAAGAGAGTCTCCATAGACCCAGTCTGAATCAGGTTATCCTGTGGAAGACTGTCATAACTATGTTAACTAGGGTGATCCCCCCCCCACTATGGGTGGTGCCATTCCCTAGACAGGAAACCCTGGTTGTAGAGAATGAAGAAAGTGAGCTGAGCACCGGCAAACATGCATGCATTTCTCTCTGCTCTTGACTGTGGATAGGGTGTGACTTCCTGTGTGTCCATCTCCTGACACTGTGGCATCCATGCAACAATGGACTATTGTAGCTGGACAAATTATGGTATATGGGATTGGGATGAAGTAAGTTAATTTTATTGATGAGAGAATCACTTGCATGAGAAACCAACAACCCAAGGTCAGTGCTCCGACAGTTTCCGCTGCTTTCCAAGACTAGAACAGACCAGACCAGAACCAAGAGAGAGAGAGAGACAGAGACAGAGAGACAGAGAGACAGAGAGACAGAGAGACAGAGAGACAGAGAGAGACAGAGAGAGAGATATCTGCCTCTCCCCAGGTCTTTATCCCACACCCCACGTGTGCACCAGAGCCTCAGGCACCTAGTAAGATTTCTCCCTGCAACTCTCCTTTTAGTCTAAAGAAAAGATTCAGACTTTCTACAAAGATGGCAAAATTCAAGTGTGCTCTAGGAAAAGGAGAAGGACAAACGCGCTCCCTCAATATCTAAAGCCAGTAAAACAACAGGAGTAAATGTCAAGAACTACATATCCAGTCCTGGGGTAAAGGCATAACATAGACTACTATAGGGCTGTTCTAAGATGGACAGTTTAAGTCTTGTACCTATTATTTCTATCTAGGAAGAGAGAGCAATAATTGTGACAGTCTAATCTTCAACCTCATCTAAGACCTGAGAAGGAGGATAGCAATTCTTGGGTAGGCAGGATGCTCGGGTGAGCATCTTCCAAAGGTGCAGTGAAGACAGAAACAGCAGGCTGCCTGGACAGTCACCCACAGTCTCACAGCAGCTTTGTCTAAGGCCTGGAGTATCAGACTGACCAACACAGAAGCATGGAGGCAGATAGGCTGTCTTACTTGGCAGGGTTCAGCAGTCTTCTAAACTATATCCTGCAAGCACACTAGGACAGCATGTCCAAAGTCAGCAGTCCAAGGGGGGGCAGTTCTCTGTCTAAAAGGCCATTAGCCAAGGAGAGAATGAACTCCAGAAGGAGTGACATCAGTGCCCAACATTTTCTCGGGAAGCTTGGTGCTGTCAGGAGCAATTGTGTCTCATGTCAATAGAACTAATATTAAACATTTAAATGCCATATTCTGCAGGTCTATGAAGTGTTTGAAGGTCAAAATCTATATCTGACTAATCTCGTAGAAATAAGAATGTGAGTGAAAATATCTGTAACTCTCAGGAACCTAGTTGTACAATGGCTTAAGCTTCCTAAAATAATTTAACAAGGACCAAGACTATAGCAATATAACTATATATATATATATATACATATATATGTGTGTGTGTGTGTGTGTGTGACTCTATAGAGATAGAGTTGTAGTGTCTTAATCAGAGGTAGAATTATATAGTGCAACATGATAGAAATATACTAAATTATGTCAATATATAAAATATCTTAAACATATGTAAAAGCATATATACATAAATTATGATAAGGATATTTGTATACAAAATATCATAAATGGAAAGAAGACCTTACACAGTATGACAAAATGGAATATACAAATTATACAAGAAAGGAATACAACCTGATTATAAATAGGTTACAACGTACAAGAATCTATAACAGTGTAATTTGTCTATAGCTACTAATCACAGAGGTAAATCACAAGATAGTATGTTATTCTATCTGTATCCCATCCTAACCGTACCTTTCCCATCCATACCCTAAGCTTATCTGAAAGAGACACCAGAGTCTACACACCTCCTTCCCTACCCAACCCTAAGCAGCTGTAAATTATCCCTTAATGTCAACAGTAAGGAAAGGGGGTGTTGTATGCTAAGAGTTACTTCCTGCTGAAATGGGATGATGATACTCTCATGGGATCCTGTAGGAAGAAAATCTTTAGAGTAACAAAGGTCTCGAGTGGACTAGGCGTAGCATTTGTTCTTAGTCTCTCTTTGGTGGGAGATGCTGAAATGGGATGCCCCAAATTAGAGAATCACCTGTGACTAAATTACAGGAAACAAAAAGCAAAACTATCCAGTTTTCACAAGGCCCACTGTCGTCAGTAGAGGCCTCTTGTGAATTTCTTGTGTGTCTCTTTGGGGGAGATGCTTGACTGAAGTTCTATCTGAGGCTCTGGTCAGAGTGTAATAAGAAGGTGCACCATCTCAGCTAGCTAGTCTGGAGTTGTCTGGAGCAAAATAGTCCTAAACTGGTTTTAGGGTATCAGTTCAAAGGCATCAAGTTGGATCAAATAGGATCAGTGAAGTGGGGCCCCGTTTTCTTTCCAGAGAGTTCAAAGACTGCTGTTAGGAAATTCTTTGTTCGCTGTGGAGGACTTAGACATTAATATGAACACAGAAATTTATGCACACCAGGAAAAGCAACAATAAGGAAAATAATAAATGTGACGTATATTAGGCTTTCGGGGAAAGAACCGAGTTTAGACAAACGACAGTCCCTAGATTTTGTTTTCTTCTGTCTTGTATCAATTGGCTTCTTGATATAATACAGAAACTCTGAGTTTTATTTTAACAACATGCTTGGAGGAGAGGAGGAGAGCCAAATCCAGCTCCAAATCCAGGATTGGTTTGAGTGAGTTGGGACTAAAAGAGTGCTTGAAAGTAAAGAGAAACAGGTTTCATATAGAAATAATTCAAGAGTTTTCCACATGTCAGATTCTCCTTTGCTTGATGGTTCTTTTTGGATAGTTATCCTCTCTTCTTTAGGCATCCGAATATTCAGTGTCCTTTTGCTCTTTGGAGATGGGTTTTCCTGTTAAGACAAGAACAAAACACTCGTCACCTTTCCTTTGTGAGGTCTCCATGCAACTCATGGGATCTTACGTGGTGGATAACCTGTCATTCTTCTTCATTGAGTAAGATCTCTCCCTACAGACTATAGCCTGGAACTGAGAGCTAAGATCACCTTGCCTCCCCTGCATTGCTTTATATAACCGGGATAAATACTGATCTACTACCCAAGGCTCAAGAGATTACCTAGGCCTCCTCACTGACACCCACATTCAGGGAGTCTTGATCAGTCCCATGCTGGATTCCCAAGCATCAGTCTGGTTTTCAAGAGGTAATCCTTGTCAGGTCAGCTGTTTCTGGGGGTTAAACGAGCCCAGTCTTAATGCCTTTGGTCATCAGTCCTCCCTCTCTGTCGCTGGATTTCTTGAGTTCCGCTCCATTGTGTAATGTACCACATTTTCTCTATCCACTCTTCTGTTGAAGGGCATCTAGGTTGCTTCCAGGTTCCGGCTATTACAAATAATGCTGCTATAAAATAGTGGAACAGACATCCTTGTTGTATGAATGGGTCTTGTGTTAGGTTTATTCCCATTTTTCTGAGGAACCTCCATACTGATTTCCAAAGTGGCTGTACAAATTGGCACTCCCACCAGCAGTGGAGGAGTGTTCCCCTTTCACCACATCCTCTCCAGCATAAATTGTCGTTGGTGTTTTTGATTTTAGCCATTCTGACAGGAGTGAGATGGTATCTCAGAGTTGTTTTGATTTGCATTTCCTGAATGGCTAAGGATGTTGAGCACTTTCTCAAGTGCCTCTCAGCCATTTTAGACTCCTCTATTGAAAATTCTCTATTTAGTTCTGTAGCCCACTTTTTAATTGGATCCTTTGGTGTTTTGGAGACTTGCTTCTTGAGTTCTTTGTATATTTTAGAAATCAGCCCTCTGTCAGATGTGGGGTTAGTGCATAACTTTTCCCATTTTGTCAACTGCCTTTTTGTCTTGTTGACTGTGTCCTTTACCTTGTAGAAGCTTCTCAGTTTCAGGAGGTCCCATTTATTAATTGTTAATTTCAGTGTATGTACTTGTGTTCAGGAAGCAGTCTCCAGTACCAACTCATTCAAGGATACCACCTAATTTCTCCTCTAAGAGGTTCAGTGTGACTGGATTTATGTTGAGGTCTTTGATCCAATTGAATTTAAATTTTGTGCATGGCGATAGACATGGATCTATCTGCAGTCTCCTACATGTCAACATCCAGTTATGCCAGCACAATTTATTGAAGATGCTTTCTTTTTTCCATTGTATATTTTAGCTTCTTTGTCAAAAACCAAATGTACATACGTGTGTGTGGTTTAATACCAGGATTTTCAATTCAATTACATAGTTCTACCTGCCTTTTTTGTGCCAATGCCAAGCTGTTTTCAGCATTATAACTCTATAATAGAGTCAGAGATGGTGATGCCTCCGGATGTTGCTTTGTTGATCATGGTTGGTTTGGCTATCCTGGGTCTTTTGTTTTTCCATGTAAAGTTGAGAATTGTTCTTTCAAGGTCTGTGAAGAATTGTACTGGTATTTTAATGGGTATTGCACTGAATCTGTAGATTGCTTCTGGCAGGATTGCCATTTTTACTACATTGATTCTACCTATCCAAGAGCATGGAAGTTCTTTCCATTTTCTGAGGGCTTCTTTAATTTCTTTCTTTAAAGATTCAATGTTCCTGCGATACAGGTCTTTCACTTGTTTAGTTAGCATTACCCCAAGGTATTTTATGTTGTTTGTGGAAATTGTAAAGGGTGATGTTTCTCTGATTTCTCTCCCAACCCTTTTATCGTCTGTATATAGTAGGGCTACTGATTTTCTTGAGTTGATCTTGTAGCCTGCCACTTTGCTGAAGGTGTTAATCAGCTCTAAGAGTTCCCTGGTAGAGTTCTTTGGGTCATTTATGTAAACTATCATATCAATCTGCTTTTGTTGCCGTATGGCTCTGGCTAGAACTTCAAGTACAATATTGAAAAGGAATGGAGAGAGTGGACAGCCTTGTCTTGTTCCTGATTTTAGAGGAATTGCGTTGAGTTTCTCTACATTTAGTTTGATGTTGGCTGTTGGTTTGCTGTATATAGCTTTTATTATGTTTAGGTATGTTCCTGTTATCCCAGATCTCTCCAAGACCTTTATCATGAAGGGGTGTTGGATTTTGTCAAATGCTTTTTCAGCATCTCATGAGATGATCATGTGATTTTTGTTTTTCAGCTTGTTTATATGGTGGATTACGTTGATGGATTTTCGTATGTTGAACTATCCCTGCATCCCTGGGACGAAACCTACTTGATCGTGTTGAATGATTGTTTTGATGTGTTCTTGGATCCGATTCGCCAGCATTTTATTGAGTATTTTTGCATCAATGTTCATGAGGGATATTGGTCTGAAGTTCTCTTTCTTAGTTGTGTTTTTCTGTGGCTTGGGGATCAAGGTTATCGAAGCCTCGTAGAAAGAGTTTGGCAAAGACCCTTCTGCTTCTATTGCATAGAATACTTTGAGAAGAATTGGTATAAGCTGTTCTTTGAATTTCTGGTAGAATTCTGCACTGAGGCCATCTGGACCTGGGCTTTTTTTGGTTGGGAGACTTTTGATGACTGCTTCTATTTCCATAGGGGTTATAGGTCTATTTAAATTGCTTATCTGTTCTTGATTTAATTTTGGCAAGTGATAGCTATCCAGGAAGTCGTCCATTTCCTTTAAATTTTCGAGTTTTGTGGAGTACAGGTTTTCAAAGTATGACCTGATGATTCTCTGGATTTCCTCAGAGTCCGTTGTTATGTCCCCCTTTTCATTTCTGATTTTGTTAATTTGCATGTTCCCACTCTGCAGTTTGGTACATTTGGACAAAGGTTTGTCTATCTTGTTAATTTTCTCAAAGAACCAACTCTTCGTTGCATTGATACTTTGTATTGTTTTCCTAGTTTCTACTTTATTGATTTCAGTCCTTAATTTGATTATTTCCTGGCATCTACTTCTCCTGGGGGAGTTTGCTTCTTTGTGTTCTAGAGCTTTCAGCTCTGCTGTTAATTCTGTAGTATAACTATTCTCCAGTTTCTTCATGTGGGCACTTAGCGCTATGAACTTCCCTCGTAGACCTGCTTTCAAAGTGTCCTATAAGTTTGGGTATGTTGTGTCTTCATTCTCATTGAATTCTAGGAAGTCTTTAATTTCTTTTTTATTTCTTCTTTGACCCAGGAATGGTGCAGTTGTGCATTATTCAATTTCCATGAGTTTGTAGGGTTTCTGCAATTTGTGTTGTTGTTGAGTTCTAATTTTAATGCACGGTAGTTTGATAAGATGCATGGAGTTATTCCAATTTGTTTGTAGCTGCTGAGGTTTGATATGTTGCTAAGTATATGGTCGATATTTGAGAAGGTTCCATGTGGTGGTGAGAAGAAAGTATATTCTTTTTTATGTGGATGAAATGTTCTATAGATGTCTGTTAATCCCAGTTGGGTCATTACTTCTATTAGACCCTTTGCTTCTTTGTTGAGTTTCTGTCTGGTATTCCTGTATAGTGGTGAGAGTGGGGTGTTGAAATCTCCCACTATAAGTGTGTGGGGCTTTATATGTGATTTAAGTTTTAGTAATGTTTCTTTTACAAACGTGGATTCCTTTGTATTTCGGGCATAGATGTTCAAGACAGAAACTTCATCTTGGGGGATTTCACCTGTGATGAGTATGTAATGGCCTCCTTCATCTCTTTTGATTGATTTTATTTTAAAGTTTAATTTGTTAGATATTAGGATTGCTACCCTTGCTTGTTTCTTGGGTCCATTTGATTGAAAAATCTTTTCCCAACCTTTAACTCTCAGGCAATGTCTGTCTTTGAGGCTGAGGTGTGTTTCTTGTATGCAGAAGAAGGATGGGTTCTGTCTTTGAATCCATTCTGTTAGTCTGTGTCTTTTTATGGGTGAGTTAAGGCCATTAATGTTGAGGGATATTAATGGCCATTGATTGCTCATTCTTCTTTGATTTGGAATGGTTGTTGTTGGTGGAATTATGTGTGGAATTCCACCCCTTTTTTTCTTTTGGCTGTTGGTAAAGTGGGATTATCTAATGCCTATGTTTTTCTGGTTGTAGTTAACTTCCTTGGGTTGGAGTTTTCCTTGCAGAACTTTCTATATTGCTGGGTAAGTGGATACATTTTGCTTGAATCTAGTTTTGTCATGGAATATCTTGTTTTCTCCATCTATAGTGATTGAGAGCTTTGCCAGGTCTAGTAGTCTGGGCTGCCATCCATGGTCTCTTAGTTTTGGTAGAATATCTATCAAGAACCTTCTGGCTTTCAGAGTTTCCATGGAGAAGTCAGGTGTAATTCTGATAGGTTTGCTTTTATGTTACTTGGCCTTTTTTCCTTAGCTGCTCTTAATATTCTTTATTTATTCTGTATATTTGAGGTCTTGATTTTTTATGTGGCAAGGGGACTTTTTTGTGATCCACTCTATTTGGTGTTCTGTAAGCTTCTTGTAACTTCATTGGCATGTCTTTCTTTAGGTTGGGAAAGTTTTCTTCTATGGTTTTGTTAAATATGCTTTCTGCCCCTTTGAGGTGGTTTTCTCCACCTTCTTCTATACCTATTATTCTTAGTTTTGGGCTTTTCATGGTGTCCCATATTTCCTGGATGTTTTTTGTTAAGGATTTGTTGGACTTAAGATTTTCTTTGGTTGATGAACCCATTTCTTCTAGTATATCTTCAACACCTGAGATTCTCTCCTCCATCTCTTGTATTCTGTTGGTAATGCTTGTATCGGTAGTACCTGACTGTTTGCCCAGCTTTTCTATTTCCAGCCTTTCTTCAGATTGTGTTTTTTTTATTGTCTCTATTTCAGTTTTCAACCCTTGCATGGTTTGAATTGTTTCTTGCAATTTTCGGTTTATCTTTTTGTACATTTGTTGCATTTTATGAATTTTTTGGTTTGTTCTTTCTTCCATTTCTTGCATTTTTGGTTTGTTTTTTCTTCCATTTCTTGCATTTTTTG